CTTAATATTGTCATTTAGGATTTGGATCTTGTTTTGGGATAAAACCTAGAAGCTCAGAAATACGGGGTATGTGAAATTAGTGTCTAGGACATTTATAGCATATGTCTAATTCTTCCTGAGACACAAATACTGTGAAGCTTCAGGGCTTATGATTTTTATATCCTTTTATCAGAATTACCCATATAATATCTAATTTATCTCCTATAGACTCTTCAATTTCTATGTATACATTAGCAATACTATTTTTTTTAATTCCAAAGAAATGTGTGAAGATGTTCATGGAGGAAATGACAGAAAAGTTTAGTTAATGTTTCATTATTCTGTTTGACTGGAGTTTTCAAAACATCAGCCTAACATAATCAAATATTAAACTCATCAACAAATAAGAATGAAAGTAAATGCAATAGTTTGATTATAGTATTTTAAGAAATATAAATCTACTTACCCTCCTACTGTTTAATTCCACTTCTTACCATTTAAACATCAAAGTTGCTTTCTGCTCAGTATCTCAGGGAAAGATGTACCAAGATAGTAAACAGAAAAAAAACCAAGCATAAAAACTCTGAAAATCCAGAAAACTTGCTGGCAGAAAGCTCACAACTTTAGGATAATGAAGCATCTCTTGGCAGTGACAAATTATTTGCAAGAAATTTCCTGGGTGATTGTTGCTTTTACTTTTTGTGAAGGTACTCACCAGGGAGTATATATGAAGGGAAGGGGAAGAAGAGGAAACAGAGGGGGTATTATGACAATCAGAATGAATTGATTTCAGAGGTGGAGTAGTTCCAAAGAGCTCTCTCGCATGTTCTGCTTAGGGTAAAAGATGTCCACTCCATCCCACCAACATTCCCTGCTGGATAGGTCCAAGAAGGAAGCTCACTGGGACTTCCCCCCATATCCCCCTAAATGTGATCGTATGTGTGAGGATCTGGGTGGGCCCTCAGGAAGATGGCAAGGGGGCTATTGTGAGGTGCAGCCTGCAGGCTTCCATTTGTACTCCTCCCTGTCATGCTTCATGCTACTGACACACTAAGGCACTTCCTTGGCAGAAAAACCTGAGAAGTAGCAGTTTCCAGACAGTACTGTGATAATGGAGTATGGTAAATTTACTCCTGCCCTTCCTCAGGGTTTGACATATAAATTAGGTTGAATAAGGTAAAAATATTTCTCACACACTTGAGTTTATGGATGGAGATCAGGGACCTTCTAGGTCAGCTATATTCGTCTCCATTAGTGTGGAAAAATCAAGAGTTGACTTCACCCTTCAGTCATTCCAAGTGTGACATTTTAAGTGTAACAGCCAACAGCATGCAAGTATTAGAACAGGTGGTCCGTATTTCATGTCACCAGGTTTCATTGCAGTATATGGTACTGTTGTTCATTTTGAAGAACTGCTTTTTCTTCATTTGCTTATGAAGTATATTCTTCATTGAGAAAGTGTGAGTCACTGGATTTTATTAAGGAACTTTTGAGAGAGATTTTCATATTTAGTTCACTTTCTTTAACATATAACTAATGAAATAATATAATAAAACCAAATTTACCTTTTATAATTGCTTCCCTCCTCTAATACATAACAGATTTTGAGAAACTTTAACATAACAGCTGTATTGAATAATTCTCCCTCAAGCAAAGAGCAACATGAGTAATCTATTTCTAAAATCTCCTGATTTTCTGATACCGCTTTTCCCATCATTCACCTGGGAAAAGAGCAAGGTGAGAAAAATACAAAATGAACTATGGTAAAAGCTTTTCCCTGGCAGCATACAATGCAGCCTTGATGTTATTATCATCCAAAGAAAGGTATGAGTATTAATAGGCAAGTGATTCTCAACCAGGGGCTGTTTTGCATGTCAGGGTCTACTTGGAAATTTCTAGAGATGTTTTTGGTTGTCACAGGTGGAAAGTCAGGGAAGGAGGAAGATGTGTTCCTGATACCTTGTGGAAAGAGTCCAGGTATTATGCTAGGCATCCTATCTGGCAGAAGACAGCCTTAGTCTCTACCGAAGGATTATCTGACCCAAAATGTCAGCAGTAATGCGAAGGATAAGAAGCTCTGATAAAGTCATGAGAAAAAGAGGTATAATTTGAGAAAACTAGAGGAATGAAAAGGTTTTTAAAAGCTGAGCAGCACATGGATAATTGTTAAAAAATGAGTTAAGGAAGCCATAGGTACCTGAAAAATTGAATAATTCTTTTATATTTGAGGCAATTTTAAAGGAAAACTGTCTTAAGAGGATATGTTATTACCAACTTAAGGAGAGCATTAAATTTCATGAAATGAACAGTGTGGTTCTAAAGCACAAAAACAAGACCATGATTATGTTTCACAATTTGTGTTGCTTATTTTACATAATGTTTTGTGCGTTGAATGAAAATAAATATGTAGACTTAATGAGAAAACATGGAATATTTCTACCCACTGCTTTGTAGAGGTTGTGCCCTTGGAAAGGTCGATTCTGGGGCCAGTTAAGGAGAGTGGTGAATGGCAGGTTATGATTTCAATCCAGTTATTAGAAATGGAAAGGATTGTATTAGATTTCTCTAGATAAAACCAACGGGATGGACACACACACACACACACACACACACACACACACACACACTTAAAGAGAGATTTAGTTTTTCATTGTGGTATCTAGCAAGTCCCAAATCTGTAGGATAGGTAGGCAAGCTAGAGATTCAGGTAAAATGTTAATGTTGCAAATCTTGAGACTGAAATCTGGAAACTCAGGCAAAAATTTTGTGTCTGGAGGCAGAATTCCCTCTGAGGGCTGTGAGAAACAATCTGTTCATGAGTTCTCTATATAAACACAGCGAGAGAGACACACACACACACACACACACACACACACACACACACTTAAAGAGAGATTTAGTTTTTCATTGTGGTATCTAGCAAGTCCCAAATCTGTAGGATAGGTAGGCAAGCTAGAGATTCAGGTAAAATGTTAATGTTGCAAATCTTGAGACTGAAATCTGGAAACTCAGGCAAAAATTTTGTGTCTGGAGGCAGAATTCCCTCTGAGGGCTGTGAGAAACAATCTGTTCCACAGCTGTTGCCTAGCTTCTAGTGTTTGCTCAAAATCCTTGGCATTCCTTGTAGAAATATCACCTTAATCTTTGCTGTCATCTAATATGTTGCTTTCTCTCTGTCTATGTCTGTGTACACATTTTATCTTATGCTATGAATCCCAGTCTTATTGGGATTCCAGTAAGATCCCATCTTAACTAATAACAGCTCCTAGAACTCTATTTCCAAATGAGGTCATATTCTGAGAACAACATATGAATTTTGGGAGCACACAATTTAAGTTTTAAAAGAGAGTTTGAATAGGGAATTTCTGAATTGTTCTGTACTGACAGATAACTGCAGTTTTCTTTTTTCTCAAGGACATGTTATTAGAATATGGCACAAGAAAGGCAAATGGGACAGAATCTTAATTTTTTCCTGTTAGGTACTGGGAATGGAAACTAAGAGTACTCTAGCATTAAGCTATATCTGCAGAACTTTTTTTATTTTAATTTTTTACTTTGAGAAAGGCTCTTGCCAAGTTACCCAAGGTAGCTTGAACCTACAATTCTCCTGCCTCAGCTTCCTAAGTAGTGGGATTACAGGCATGGCCCACTGTGTCCAGCTAAAATGTTTCTGAATTTATATTTTTTCATAGTCTAGTAATAACAAATATGTAAAAAGTTAAGACATTAAAAACACAGAAAATAAAATCATTATTATATTTCTCCTCAGAAAAAACAACTTTAGCAGTGTGTAATTATGTAAATCTATTTGTAAATATGTGTACTCACACAAAAAATGAGCATAGCATACATATGCTTTTGCATTTTGGGCCCCTTTTTTACTTTGAAATATATTTTGGATAACTTTTTGTATCAGTACTGTCTTGGTCCATTTTCTGTTGTATAATTGACTATCATGAACTAAGTAATTTGTAAATAATCGAGACATATTTAATCATGGAAAGTAAGAAATCCAAAAGCATAGTGAAACATCTTGTTGATATCTGGTGAGGGCTTGGTGATATATCATAATATGGTGGAGGGCATTGCATGATGACAGAATGTATTTGTTAGAGAGAGCTTACTTTTATAAAGTAAAAGCAACTCATTCAATAACCAGTTAATCTCTTAATCCATGAATGGCTTAATCTATTCACCCTTTTGACCCAATCACCTCCCCAAAGTATCACCACGAAATACCACTGACATATGACTTTGGGGAATAAGTTTCTAATTCTGGGAGTCAGACACTGTAATTATACAAGTAAATAATGAGTTATGAATTCTTTTAAGTTGACTGTTTACTACTCATTGAGTGTGCTCTATCTACTTAACCAATCCTTTAATGAGGCCATTTAGATTATTTCTAAATCTTTAGTTTTATGAAAATTTTACAGTGAATGTCATTCATTCATTTACAGTGAATATCATTCATTTGTGTTCTTGTGGAAGTAATTTTTTTACTGGAAGTAAATTTTTGAGCCAAAGTATGTGGCCATCTTAAATTGTAATAGATATTTCTAAATCTCAGGCAAGAATGTATTAAAAAAATTCCCACTAAAAATATAGGAATTAGATCAGCAATCTTTATGTGGGAAAAGGTAAGTATACCATATTGACATCAAATTTAAGGTACTGTGCCAACATAGTAATTTCTTACTAATCCGAGAATAGTTACACACACTCATTTAAGGTCTTGTCAACAAACCTTAGTTTACTGCTAACATTGGTACCCCCCCTAGATAGAGTTTGTTCATGACTAAATATCAATTATATTACTACTGGTGTGTTCAACTTTATCCATCTGTTTGAACATTTGCTATCAAAATTATAGCTCATATAGGCCACTGTTTTAGTTTCAAATTCTTGAATAAAAAAATGCATATTCAAATCGTAATGTTTGAAAATTATTTAAAATATGATTCCCTTATTATCAATGTGTAGGACTATAAAACTTGAATACTTTTAATATTTTTTTCTAGGCCTTCTTCTCAGCCCCCTGATGTTTGGACCCCAGACCAAGTGTGGACTCTTTCCTACTGTTTTGTTTGCTGGAGTCAAAAATCATGTCTCACCGGAGGGCTTCTAGTGAATTTAGTCTTGCATCCTATTGAAGAATCTGGATCATGGAAGAGGTCTGGAAAAACCAGTACCCAAAAGTGCTATCATTTCTAATCATAATTCTGGGAAATTGATGGGTATAAAATATCAATACTATATTTGTTCTGCTATTAGAGTGGAGTGCAGTCATGGAGACCCAAGAACTGCTGACACATAGAAGTCTTAGAGTCTAGCAGTTGGTTTCTGGAGTCTATTTGGAGGATGTAGATCCATGCCTTAGGGCCAAGTCTCAGAGCAGGCTGTAGAACTGGGGAAGGAGGAATGGAAAGCCCATTAGAGTTCTTATATACCAGAAACTTTGCATCAGAGATCAAGGTCATGGAATGGTTTTAGGTCTGGAGATATTTCAAAAAATTTCACATCCAATGTGCAGCTTTTTTCAGAATTATTTTCTGAAGCAAAATCATTAAGGTCATGTTTTTCCATAATATCCTTGTTTTCGGTACTGTGTAGCACTTTGTAAATAACATTTGCTTTTACATTTTCTTCTCAGATGCTGATGCACATTCTGGAAGTTTTGATGGTGGCTTCTTTATCTTAGCAGAGGTTGATAATGGATGGTGTTTAGTCAATGAGCAAGACTCATTTTTTTCTGAAATGATTGATTGGAGTGGAGGAAAATGTGGACGGCATGTTGTCATACAGTAAGTCCATCACCAGAAATAACAATGAAATTTATCCACAGCTATTGTGAGATACCATCAATAGCAAAGTGAATCTCAGCTTCAAATTCTGTTAAAATGTGCACCACAAAATTGAATAAAATACAGTATGTTCTTAAAAATGTTGAATCTGAGGAAGTTTAATTATTTTATTTAATTATTCAGCATGTTTATTGGATCTAGTGCCAAACCCTGCCATATACTTTTATTTGTGTTATTTGCATTTTCTCTTAACATTTCATAATTAACTTAACTGATAGTTTGTGAATTTAACTTTTTTCTTCCAAAGATTGAGCACTTCTTTTCTTCGTTCTTCTTTCTTTCATTATTCTGTTCCAATTTTCAATTGTTTCCTTTAGTATATGTTTTTTCCTAACTTAATTTATGCCATATAAAATTATTTGTTTTCTTAATTATTTAGATATATACATATTTAAATAAATACATTTCTCTTTGCTCTAGCAATATTTTATTGTTTCTGATATGATTATTTGAACTATTGGTATTTCCTAGATACTTGACAATTTCAACCTAGGATTCTTCTTTGATGAAAGTTTGTATTAAAGATAATTTTCTGTTGTTGTTGTTTTGGTACCGGGTATTGAACTCAGGCCTTTGCACTTGTGAGGCAGGCGCTGGAACCACTGAGCTAAATCCTCAGCCCCGGTATTAAAGATAAATTTAAAGTTTATATGCAGAAGAACTTTTTTTCCAATTTTGTGATTAATTTCTGTGTTTTTTTAATGTAAGGCTCAATATTATCTACATTATTTTTACTTTCAGGAATTTTAGCCTTTTGTGGCCTAATCTGTTATCCCTGAGAGAAATGAATTAATTTTCTATATTTACTTGTGTTTCTGTGTGCTTATTTTTATTTCTTATTTATGCTTTAAGAGTATTCTTTATGCAGACATACTCGTGACTTGTAGGTTGTTATTGTGGGTTGTAGGTTTGTCTTAAAGTGGCTCTCTGCCTTATTTTATGATTTTTGACTTTTGGTTCTCTGATATTACTATCATGATCCTGCTTTCTTTTGGTTTATTTTTGCCAGACAGGTCTTTGTTGATTCTCTTACTGTCAACATTATCGTGTCAAAATTTGTTTCAAACTTAGCTTTTCAGTATACTGTATTTTATTATGTGATCTTACCTCATTCTTATTCTTTCCATTTATACACTCTGAAACATTTATACAGTGTTATTTAGACTGTACATGAATTATTTGCTTTAAAAAGTATTTATTAGCTTTTCCCCAACCCCTCACCCTGTCTCATAAACAGCCTTCCTAATTGGTTGAGTCCTAGTCCTCTGTACCTTGGCAGGGTCAATAAAGTCCACAGAATGACTTGTGACTGCCGTTGCCTTAGGAGTTCATTGATTCTCAGTTCTGTAATCACATATATTTCTTACTTGCTATCAGTTTTTTTGGCACTGTGTTTTGCTTTTGTGGACTGGATAGTTTGTTTAACATGTCTCAGAGAACTATAGGTCTTAAATGCATCCATATATGAAAATCTCTGATGTTTGTCTCTGGAGCAGGGAGGGGGAAAGGAAGGGAGGGAGGGACCAAAAAAAAACAGAATAGAAGGAAAAAAATGGAAAAAAGCTTTTGTAAATAAGAGGGGAAGAGAAGTTGAAGGAAGGGGAGGGAAATGAGAGGAAAAAAAGAAGCAAGATACATTATGTTCAGGTGCAAATCCCTATGATGAATGTTATCATTGTGTATATCTAAAAAGTACCAATAAAAATAAATAAATATTTCCTTAAAAACACTTCAACTATCAGATCTCTGGAGTACATGATTTTTTCCATGGGGTTTTGACATTTCCCTGCCTTCTTTTAGCATTATATCATAACTATGGGAAGATTGAAGGGTCCCTGCTTTTTTAAATCCCTTAGAAATGATGACTAGGTTCTTTCTTTCCTTTTGAAGTTTAGTATATTTATCAAGGGAGGTACTTAACCATTTTGATCACTCATATGCATTGTTACTGAAATATATGAACTTTGAATTTGTAGCTTCAAATATTTATTTCAAAAATGATTTTTAAATTCTATTTTTGATTATTTTTATATCTTAGTGTTTGTGTTTTTAGAGGTCCTAAGTAAATGTATATTTCATTGCTTTTCTTGTCTTCTAGAGCTTTTATTTCTCTCGTTCTTTTAAAGTCTTTTGATTTAGTTCTGTTGCCTCAAATTGTCTTTCAATGTCCCTGCTTTTGTTTTATATATTCTTTTCTGTTGCTTCCTAGTATGACTTTCATTTTTGCGCTGCTTTTATTTTTCCACTGCTGCCTGGTTTTCTTAGCATTTATGAAGGACACTGTTTTCTTCAGTTCTGTGGTTATGAGAGTACTGTTAATCAGCTTCATGACAACATGGTCATCTCTCTTTGATCGGATAATGGAGAAGGCTACTAAGCAACTAATGTGTAGGTAGTGTATACAACATATAAGTACTGGACAAAAGGATGATTCACACCCTGGACCACTGGAGTGGAAGAGTGAGATTTCATCACCCAGACAGTGCACAATTTCAACTTGTGATTTATTCATTTTTCTCTTAATATTTTTTGATTGCAGTTGACCACAAGTAATGGAAATGCAGAAAGTGTTGTGGTAGATAAGGGAGGACTGTTGCATATTTAAAGTGTGTGTTGTGGATTTCCATCTATATTTTCAGAAAGTCATATTTCTTTTTTATGTTTTCTTAGAATGTTTTAAATTTGATCTCATGTATATTTCTTTTGCTCTTCTGTCTTTTTACTATGGCTGAGCTATGATTGAGTAAGGTTCTTAATTCTTGGTTGAACTGCAGAAACAAGTACTACTTTTACCATAGTAAAATGGATTTACAGACAATGGTATAAATCCATTCTCAGCAGGAAAATCCTTTTATTGAGTTCTAAACTTTCGTTCTGCATTATGAGAAGGTAGTTGGAACTTGGGTCTATACTTTACTGTTCAGTTTAATTTCTTTGGTACAAAGTAGAACTTTACTATTAATTAAGCAATTTAACTTTTATCTTTTTCCTAATATTTAGTCCTGAGGATTTTTAATTGTGCTCTGTGGTACCCTAGGACCATATATCAAATAAATTCACAGGGTGTCAGAGGAAGTTTTAAGATCTTGAGGGAAAAACAATACTATTAATAACTTTCAGAAATCCTGTGAGCTACTAGATCAAGATAGTTCACAATTATGATTTTAGATTGAGTTACAGTCCTTTCAGTGACATCATCTTTATAAAGATGGACTGATGTGATTAAAATAAGTAAAGGTGGGCTGGAGATTTAGCTCAGTGGTTCCACCTCCTGTCTCACAAGCCCAAGGTCCTGAGTTCAATATGCCGTACCAAAAAAAAAAAAAAAAAAAAAAAAAAAAAAAAAAAAAAAAAAAAAAAAAAAAAAAAAAAAAAAAAAAAAAAAAAAAAAAAAAAAAAAAAAAAAAAAAAAAAAAAAAAAAAAAAAAAAAGTAAGTAAATGCTCTGTGAAAATTAAAAAAGAATAGGGAATGAAGCAGTATCCATTCTGAGTCCAAAGTTTAAGAAGTTATGCAGTATTATTTACACATATAATCTGCATAGTAAAACCTCAATCGAATGTAAAAATTGTAAAAAAAAAGGATAGTTTTAAACACGTGAGACCTCATAGTATTTGTCTTGAACACTTTCTCAGGAAATTTTTGGAAAGTATATTTTCTCAAAATGAGAATAAATCAAGAAAGATTATCCAAGAAACAGGAGATTTATCACAGAAGCAAAGCAAAGGAAACTCTCAATATGACAGCAAGTTGCTAAGTTAAATCTTTTGCTCAATTTTCCACTGGGATTTTATTTTTATTTTTTATTTTTTAATTGAGTTATTGGTACATTCTAAGTATACAGCACAGTTACATTCATTACTGGGATCTTGTACCTTTACATGACAGGTCTTGGTTCTCATTTTTCCCCCTGTCCCTACCTCCCTTCATCCCCTCCTCCCCTCACCATTTACAAACACTTTTATTACTTTTTTTTCATTTTCTCACATTTTTTTCTTTTCCCTTATTCTCCTTCACCTACCTTCCCACTTTCCCTACACCTTTAGCCATCTCTTCCAAGTTTTTGCAGGGTATTTTTTTATAATGAATGGGTGTTGAATTTTCTCAAATGCTTTTTCTGCATCTATTGAGAGGATCATATGGTTTTTGTCCTTGACTTTGTTAATATAGTGTATTATATTTATTGATTTATGTATGTTGAACCATCCTACATCCCCGGAATAAATCCGACTTGGTCAAGATGGATGATCTTCTTGATGATCCTCTGTATTCTGTTTGCTAGTATCTTATTAAGGATTTTTGCATCTATATTCATTAAGGATATTGGCCTGTAGTTCTCTTTTTTTAGTTGCATCTTTCCCTTGTTTGGGAATGAAAGTGATACTTGCTTCCGGGAATGAATTTGGAAGTATTGCTTCCCTTTCAATTTCATTGAAAAGTTTGAAGAGTAATGGCAGTAGTTCTTCTCTAAATGTCTTGCAAAATTTAGCAGTGAACCCATCAGGGCCTGGGCTTTTCTTTGTTGGTAAGTTTTTAATTACATTTTCAATTTCACTGATTGTAATTTGGGATGTTTAAAAAGTTTTTATCTTCTTTGTTCAACTTTGGTAATTCATAAGTATCTAGAAATCTATCCATTTCTTCTGTGTTTTCAATTTTATTAGAGTACAGGTTTTCAAAGTAGGTATTAATGATCCTCTGGATTTCTGTTGGATCTGTTGTGACTTTGCCTTTTTCATTTCTGATTGCATGGATCTGAGCCTTTTCTTTCCTTTTTTTTGATAAGGTTTGCTAAGGGTTTTTCAATTTTATTTATTCTTTCAAAAAACCAACTCTTCAATTAATTTATTTTTTAGTATCATTTTCTTAGTTTCCATTGCATTGATTTCTGCTCTAATCTTTATAATTTCCTCTCTTGTTCGAGCTTTGGGTTTTTCTTGCTCTTGCTTTTCTAGAAGTCTAAGATTCATCGTTAGGTTGTTTTTTTTGAGCTTGCTCTATTTTCCGAGTGTGGGCATTCAGTGCTATGAATTTTCCACATGG